ATTAACTGACAATTTTCTTTGGTATGGGTTTTTCATTATCGATTCTATCAATGTTGGTTTATTTGCATATGTAAACGCTTTACCACACATTTTGCATTTAGATGAAAGGATTAAATCGTGATAGTATTGAAAATCATCCATTGAAACATTATTTTTAGTATCCCTTTCTGCTTTTTCATCTTGTTTCTTATATGATTCAATTTTATATTTCCAATACTTTTTCGTTAATTCAAAACTTGATTCTATCTCTTCCTCAGGATATTTTTCATTAGGATTAAAGTCTTTATATGCTGCTAAAGCGTAACGAATCATTGAAGCATTCGATGATAAAGAAAGATTATGAAGCATATCAATTTTATAAACAAATGTTTCTTCAATAATTATATCAATTGGGTCAATCATAATTTCAACATCTTTATTGCAATAATGAATAAAATATTCTAATCTATTCTTAAAATTTTTAGCATCATTGAGATATATTTGATAATCACTATCTGATATAGTTTCTTGAGTTAATGCTGAATAAAATGAATCTTGAGTGAATGGTTCCACTTTATATAATTCTTCTTCGTAATTCTCCCACGTGATGAATTGATAAGGGAAAAAGGATTTAACACGTGATTTATTGTTTCCGAAATCTTGAGTGAATTGGTCTAATGTCCCACCCGCTATATAATTTCTGATGTCAATAAATCTCAATTCATATGGAACGTTTGTTTTCTTTACAATGACTTGCTTAAATTGTGAAGATGAACCCAGCATTGATTTTATTTTCCATTTTGCAGTGTTTAAATCACGAAGAATTAAATTTAAATCAAACTTTCCCGAATTAAAACCTATGATATTCACTTTATTGAATTCCTCATCTAGAAGTTCTTTAAATGCTTCCTTCTGTTTTTCATTTAATGTATGGGACAAAGTCCCCGCCGTTTGCGACTTCAATAATTCATTGTATTGACTCATATTTGATTCAACAACTAATGAACAGGTTGAAAATAAAAACTCAATCCAATCAGAAATAAAAGAATCACTTGAAGTTAAGCAAAAATTCCTCGTATACGTTTTATCATTTAATTTAACCGTTGATGATACCATGAATGGTTTTAAGTAAGCGTTCAAAGTTGCACACTCAGAAAGTTGTAATTCTTCTTTAGTCTCTAATGTTTCAAAGTCAAAAGTAATATAATATCTTGTCGGTTTATAATATTTCTGCAAATTGTGAGCTAATAACCACTGATATATCTTCTGTTTCGTAATATGTGGTGCATATGGTTGCTGTGTCTTTTGCAACTGAACGTCTTGAATTAATCTCCCATTATTTTCTTTACATTTCTCACAATGCTTTAAAAATCTTCTTTGGTTTTTCCTTTCTGGATCATCACGGATAGAATAAACTTCTTCTTTACAATATGGACAAACTTTATAGCCGGTGAGTGCTTCAACGTCTGTTATTCTGTCAGCATGAAGTTTTCCACATGGACTCTGTGTTAATAAAATATTTACTGTTTCAAATTCTGGATCTATCATTATTGATTCCACTAATGGAAAGTCTACCTTATTTATGTCCACGTCTTCTGGTTGAGGATCACAATAATAGAAATCAATATTAACATTTAACATTCTCGCTAATCTCTCACTTTCTGATGAAATGTCAAACCCTTCATATGCATCTATTGCTTCATTTAAATAGCTTCTACGAGTTTTAGGATTAACACCATCAGGAATGTTATAGAAGCGTTTAAATAACCTTCTACCTTCTGCTCTAATTTGATTATCATTCATTTTAGCTGTTCCGTTTTTGTTCATTTATGTAAGAATAAAAAATTAAAAAATAAATAAAAATAAACTTTATTTTTTAAAGCCCATAAAATGAATTAAGAACACATAAATTTTTATCATCTGCGACGTGACGAATACATTTTAATTTACTCAAGAATGCGTACCCTGATACATTAAATCTAATTCCTGTCTTATTTAATTTCACAACTTTGAAAAGGAATGTATGAATAGCTATAAAATGATGAGAAGATGTTTTATGGGTTGCTTCCATTTTTTCTGAAATAAATGAATAAATATAATGCTTATAAGTTTTCATATCTTTTATGTTCTTAATAACGAATGGTATAGACCTTTCAACTTCATCTTCCTTCGGTGCTGTTCTTTCATATGAAACATTATTAGTATCTTCAACAATGAAACCGCAATCACACAAAATTTTATAGGTTCCAATGGTTTCTTTTGATATTTTATCTAATAAATCAAAAACTTTATCAACACCTGTGCATTTATTTAAATAATAATTTGTGTAAATATCATGATCTTCTTTCTTAATCGTATTAGTTGCATATGTCACGTTTTTAAGAGCTTTTTTGAATTTCTCAGAATCGAGAGGGGGTGAAAATAAGATACAAGGGTATTCTTCATTATCAATAAATTGTAACTTATGTTTACGAATAAATTTAGTACCTTCTTCTGAAAGTGTTTCGTCTATTTCACCATCTAATAAATTTTGTGTTGATTCTGAGACATAATTTTTATATCTTTCTTCATGAGATTTCTGAACTGCTGATTCTGAAGCTGGGATATTCATTAAACCCTCTACTTCATTTTCATTATATTTTTCAACTTCTCTTAATTCCTTAATTTTTTCATCTATTTCACCTCTTATTTTTTCCAGTCTTTCAATTTCATTATATTCATCATCTTTAATCCGTTCTTCATAATATTCGGGGAAAACATCGGGTTCTTTAGGTTTTTCTTCTTCAGATGTAGGATATAAGAAATTTATAACATCATCTTTATTCATTTTTCCATCATAATCTAAATCATTTAATAACTCCGCGAATTTTTTACAATTTCTTAAATAATATTTATTAACTTCATAACCCACCTCCTCTAATATATCCTTTATTTCCTCGTTTGTGAATCCTAATTTTTTAACGTTGTTAGTTTTGACGCTCATTTCATACAAAATAAAAAAATAAAATAATAAACATAACTAAGTTTTAATTTTTCGTAAGAAGTTTATTTTTTATTCATGAAAATAATTATATCTGATTTATTTTATTCTCTCGTATATACTAGATTTAAAGAATTCAGAACATTTCCCATAATCTCCTAAATGTTTTCTTATCCCTAACGTGTGCCAGTTATTATATGAAACTGAATAAACTTTATCTTTATCTTTACACCTTTCATCACTTCCAATATATTTATATCTCAGTTTTGATTTAGCATTTTCATATTCATTAACGTTTAATAATTCACAGTCTTCCTTTTTAAATTGATGTTTAAGATATTCAGGATTTAATACTCTACGTTTATATGCTCCTAACTTAGTTCTAAAGGTTTTTCTACAAAATTTAGGAATTCCATCCTCTTTAATGTCATCAATGATTTCCATTTCATTATTTTCAATTTCTTCTTCTCGTTTATGAGGTCTTTGATTATGACTCCATTGATTCCATGAAATTAAATATTCTTCATCATTATATTTATACCTCATTAGCTTATTTTGGCTTTCATATTCATTTAATAATTCACAATCTTCATTTTTAAAAAAGGTGACCAAACTATTTTTTGAAAGTCCGCCATAACTTTAATGGTACTATTTCAGCGTGTACAATGAATACAAAAATTCTAAGAGTGCCACATAAAATAGTACTTTAGACTTGAGTTAATGCTACCAAGCAAATGTTAAAAAGATGACTTTAGTGTTTTGATAATCAAAGATTAAAATCATTATTGTCTAAATCAATAATCATAACGACAGAAGTTAATGTTTTTTCATAAGTGCTTTAAATCCACTTTTAAAAGTATATCTCAAAAATCAAAATATCAAAAAAAATTGGCCGATAGGTTTGGCTTTAATTTTTGTCTGCTTTTATGATTTGATATGGATGTTATAATTTTAAAAGTTGAGCCAAATTCACCAATAGATTTTTGAGATTTGCAAATACTCAATAATTTTCAGCGTGTTATCTTTTATTAAAAGAACTATTTGGTTTCAGTATCATATAAATTGATATTTACTTTCTATTTGAACCTTCATTTAGCTAATGATTTAATAATACAGATTTCATCTAGTCCTTATAAGAGAATTTTGAATTTGTTATAATAAAAAAACAAACAGATATAGCTTACACTTCTATAATAAAGATACCTTTTATAGAAATCAGTATGAAATGTGTTTTAGCTTATTGGAAGCATATCAGACATAATCGCCATAATCAAAAAATCTATATACCCAATAAGTAATAAATTTGTCGATATAGATTTTCCATAAAATTAGTTTTTAGTCTGATCTTAAAATAAATTTAATTTTTTATAAAAAAAATCACATTTAAAAGTACCTTTTTAGTAGCTCGAAATCCTGTTGGTGGATTTCGGGCGTACTTCAAAATTAGCTTTTCTTCTACATATGCAAGCTATATTTTAAATATGGAGCAAATCGGATCGGCGAAAGTAGTTTAGTTACCTTTTTTTTAAATTGAAGTTTAACCCATTCAGGATTTAAACAATGTTTAATTAATCGCGGAATATCTGACATCATCTATATATAGATTATTTTATAAAAGATAAAAAATAAATTATTTTAAAATTAATGTTAATTTTTTTAATGATTTATAAATAAATATATTTTAATGCATCGTCTATATATAGATGTAACAAAAAAGTCACTAAACCCGTCATATCCTACTACTTACATTTCGTTAAAGGTATTTTTGTTTAAAAATAGTGCAAGACACATATATAACTTTAAGAAATTCGAAATACCTTTACAATAATGGATTCCAAGAATAAATTTCGATTTTTGGAAATTTAACTCCACAGATTTTATAAAAATGGATTATACACTGATATCTTTATGGTAAGTTCATATGTAATTAATACTTTATACTCATAGCTTTTGATGTTTTTTTGAAAAAATTGAACAATTTTTTTAATAGAGGATAGTTTAATTATTATTAATATTGAAATAACAAATGTTAGTTGAAATTTCACTGGTTGATGCGTGCGACACCTGACTTGATGGCAGCTTCTGCAACTGCCTTAGAGACGGTCTCCTTGATGCGCTTGTCGAATGGGTTAGGAAGGATGTAGTCTGCACTGAGTTCTTCGTCTGAGACGAGTGAAGCAATTGCGCGTGCTGCGGCGATGTTCATCTCGTTTGTGATGCGTGATGCGCGGACATCGAGTGCACCACGGAAGAGAGCTGGGAATGCGAGAACGTTGTTGATTTGGTTAGGGAAGTCTGAACGGCCTGTGCCAACAACGGCGGCACCAGCTGCCTTAGCTTCATCTGGCATGATCTCTGGGATTGGGTTTGCCATTGGGAAGACAATTGGCTTTTCGGCCATTGACTTGACCATCTCCTGTGTAAGTGTCTTTGGTGCAGAAACACCGATGAAAACATCGGCACCCTTGATGACTTCGGCGAGTGTGCCCTTCTTGAGGTCTGAGTTTGTGATCTCCGCCATCTCAACTTTGATGTCGTTCAAGCCGGAGCGGCCTTTGTAGATGGCACCTTGTCTGTCTGTGAGGATGACATTCTTTGGATTGACACCGACTGCGATGAGGAGCTTGATGATGGCGATACCTGCTGCGCCTGCACCACTTGTGACAACCTTGATCTCTTCGATCTTCTTGCCGACAAGCTTGAGTGCGTTGAGGAGTGCGGCGAGTGTGACGATGGCTGTGCCGTGCTGGTCATCGTGGAAGATTGGGATGTCGCAGATCTCTTGGAGACGCTTCTCGATTTCGAAGCAGCGTGGTGCTGAGATGTCTTCGAGGTTGACACCACCGAAGGAGCCTGCGAGGAGTGAGACAACTTGGACAATGTCGTCGACGTTCTTGGAGCGGACGCAGAGTGGGATGGCATCGACATCACCGAAACGCTTGAAGAGTAAAGCCTTGCCTTCCATGACTGGCATGCCGGCTTCTGGTCCGATGTCGCCTAAGCCGAGAACTGCGGTACCATCGGTAATGACAGCAACTGTGTTCCAGCGGCGTGTGAGGTTGTATGAGAGGTTAACGTTCTTCTGGATCTCGAGGCATGGCTGTGCAACGCCTGGTGAGTATGCGACGGAGAGATCTTCTTTGTCTTCAACTTGGCAGCGAACGACGGTCTCGATCTTGCCGCGCCATTCCTTGTGTGCTGCAACTGAGAGTGATGCGTAGTCTTTCTTGGTAGACATTTGCGAAAAATGATGTCAGCTCTCTCTCAATCGCCTTTTCTGGGTAAAGCGGTCATACTTTCTGAGAGTTCATTGAATGAAATTTTCTCTCTTCTCAATTTTATGAGCGGTTCATACAAATCAAAAATTTCCAAACGAAATCGGGCCAAAATTGTTTATCTACATGCATATTAGATGCAGAAATTTTTTTACAAAAATGTCAATGAAAAAAAATTTTCCCAATATTCCCCTTTTTCTCCTTCTCAATTTAACACTTTGAAAATTTGATATGAAAGTATGCTTTTAATATGAAGTACTAACAAGAAACAGTAGAATATCATATTAACCAAACTTTTATTTACTAATTTTTGATTTCGATTTCAAGAAATGATAAGAATATTGCATATGACTATGTCATTTTGTAAATAACATGAAGTACATGTAACAATTTTATGCGATTTTGATCAATGTATTATGCATATTCCGATCAAATTTGATTATCAACAAATCTTATATGCATATATTCTGAACACAGCTTTCACATATATACTTTATGCGAGAAATAAATGACAGCTGTTGGAACGGATGTCGTTTTTATTCATCTTATGTAAAAGAATACCTTGATTTAACCGTATTCACATAGTGAGATCATGGAAATGGAAGCATTAGGTGATATATTAGTCTGATATATGTATATTGTTAAATGATAATTAACAAAAATAAATAGAAATATAGAGTAATTTAAAGGATAGAATAATAATATTTAGTAATAAACAGTGTTATATAGTAAATGTTTTTCTTTTGATAGAAGTTTCTTAGTGGAAGTATGTTGCCTTGTGTGGGATCTCAGGGTTTGCGAGAATCTTTCCGCCTGCTGGAGCGCAGAATGCTGAGCTGCCGTCTTCGCTGAGGTGGACGCTGATGCGTGCACGAGCTGGGACTGGCATGTTGTGTGGGCTCTTGAGTGTGAATTCCTCGCTGACAACTGTGTTTGGCTCGAAAGCAGAGAGGCGGAGCTCGACTTCACCGATCTCTTCGTCACCACCGAAGAGATGCTTCTTGAAGAGAACGAGAACGAAGGATGAGCGAGCTGGATCGTTGTATCTGAACTCCCATGTCTTGTTTGGATGGTTCTTCTCGTTGAATTCGGCGGCATGACCCATGAAGCTGCTTCTTGGACCAACACGTGCAACAAGTGTTGTCTTGCCGCTTGTATGGAAGCTGCCTGTGCTGACACCGTCAACGCGGATATATGCGTAGTTACCGCTGACCAATGGCATGTACTCGAAGTTGTTCATCATATCTTGCAATGCTAAAAATGAAGACTACCATTCTCTCAATTTTTGAGAGGCTCTACAATCAAGTTTTGAGAAAAAATTAGGTCATTGTTTCTGATGCTTGATATTTTATTTTTTCATCATTGCAGCACTCACGGAGATGCGAAAGATTTATCGAATAACTCGAGAAAATCATAACCGAAATTTATTCATGAAAAAGAGTTTTGAGAGAGAAATACCCAATTTTTGATTGAAAACGATGATTTGCTGAGACATCAACTTGAATTACTAATCATATTGCCCTCCATTCTATTCATAAATAGACATTTTGATGCATTTTTCATCGACCAAACCAAATAATATATAAAATCAGCATTTTATATTTCTTTATTTCTCTGATATCTAATTGTAATAATAAAACCAAATTGTTGATTTGTCTCCGATAAGTTTCGCTTTCAAAATCTTTTCAATGTATTTATCCCACTTTACCTCAATTTTTATAAAAATTTTATTAGAAAATTATAGTAAACTATTTATCTTGAGGATATTTTGGAGGGGGGGTGAAAATTTTGCTTGATTTTGATTTTGGTCTGTCCGATCACAAACGAGTTTATTTCTTGATAAAATATCTAACATAATCAAGTACTTGGTCATGTTAAAGTTGATGTCTCAGCAAATCATCGTTTTCAATCAAAAATTGGGTATTTCTCTCTCAAAACTCTTTTTCATGAATAAATTTCGGTTATGATTTTCTCGAGTTATTCGATAAATCTTTCGCATCTCCGTGAGTGCTGCAATGATGAAAAAATAAAATATCAAGCATCAGAAACAATGACCTAATTTTTTCTCAAAACTTGATTGTAGAGCCTCTCAAAAATTGAGAGAATGGTAGGTCTTCATTTTTAGCATTGCAAGATATGATGAACAACTTCGAGTACATGCCATTGGTCAGCGGTAACTACGCATATATCCGCGTTGACGGTGTCAGCACAGGCAGCTTCCATACAAGCGGCAAGACAACACTTGTTGCACGTGTTGGTCCAAGAAGCAGCTTCATGGGTCATGCGCCGAATTCAACGAGAAGAACCATCCAAACAAGACATGGGAGTTCAGATACAACGATCCAGCTCGCTCATCCTTCGTTCTCGTTCTCTTCAAGAAGCATCTCTTCGGTGGTGACGAAGAGATCGGTGAAGTCGAGCTCCGCCTCTCTGCTTTCGAGCCAAACACAGTTGTCAGCGAGGAATTCACACTCAAGAGCCCACACAACATGCCAGTCCCAGCTCGTGCACGCATCAGCGTCCACCTCAGCGAAGACGGCAGCTCAGCATTCTGCGCTCCAGCAGGCGGAAAGATTCTCGCAAACCCTGAGATCCCACACAAGGCAACATACTTCCACTAAGAAACTTCTATCAAAAGAAAAACATTTACTATATAACACTGTTTATTACTAAATATTATTATTCTATCCTTTAAATTACTCTATATTTCTATTTATTTTTGTTAATTATCATTTAACAATATACATATATCAGACTAATATATCACCTAATGCTTCCATTTCCATGATCTCACTATGTGAATACGGTTAAATCAAGGTATTCTTTTACATAAGATGAATAAAAACGACATCCGTTCCAACAGCTGTCATTTATTTCTCGCATAAAGTATATATGTGAAAGCTGTGTTCAGAATATATGCATATAAGATTTGTTGATAATCAAATTTGATCGGAATATGCATAATACATTGATCAAAATCGCATAAAATTGTTACATGTACTTCATGTTATTTACAAAATGACATAGTCATATGCAATATTCTTATCATTTCTTGAAATCGAAATCAAAAATTAGTAAATAAAAGTTTGGTTAATATGATATTCTACTGTTTCTTGTTAGTACTTCATATTAAAAGCATACTTTCATATCAAATTTTCAAAGTGTTAAATTGAGAAGGAGAAAAAGGGGAATATTGGGAAAATTTTTTTTCATTGACATTTTTGTAAAAAAATTTCTGCATCTAATATGCATGTAGATAAACAATTTTGGCCCGATTTCGTTTGGAAATTTTTGATTTGTATGAACCGCTCATAAAATTGAGAAGAGAGAAAATTTCATTCAATGAACTCTCAGAAAGTATGACCGCTTTACCCAGAAAAGGCGATTGAGAGAGAGCTGACATCATTTTTCGCAAATGTCTACCAAGAAAGACTACGCATCACTCTCAGTTGCAGCACACAAGGAATGGCGCGGCAAGATCGAGACCGTCGTTCGCTGCCAAGTTGAAGACAAAGAAGATCTCTCCGTCGCATACTCACCAGGCGTTGCACAGCCATGCCTCGAGATCCAGAAGAACGTTAACCTCTCATACAACCTCACACGCCGCTGGAACACAGTTGCTGTCATTACGATGGTACCGCAGTTCTCGGCTTAGGCGACATCGGACCAGAAGCCGGCATGTGCCAGTCATGGAAGGCAAGGCTTTACTCTTCAAGCGTTTCGGTGATGTCGATGCCATCCCACTCTGCGTCCGCTCCAAGAACGTCGACGACATTGTCCAAGTTGTCTCACTCCTCGCAGGCTCCTTCGGTGTGTCAACCTCGAAGACATCTCAGCACCACGCTGCTTCGAAATCGAGAAGCGTCTCCAAGAGATCTGCGACATCCCAATCTTCCACGATGACCAGCACGGCACAGCCATCGTCACACTCGCCGCACTCCTCAACGCACTCAAGCTTGTCGGCAAGAAGATCGAAGAGATCAAGGTTGTCACAAGTGGTGCAGGCGCAGCAGGTATCGCCATCATCAAGCTCCTCATCGCAGTCGGTGTCAATCCAAAGAATGTCATCCTCACAGACAGACAAGGTGCCATCTACAAAGGCCGCTCCGGCTTGAACGACATCAAAGTTGAGATGGCGGAGATCACAAACTCAGACCTCAAGAAGGGCACACTCGCCGAAGTCATCAAGGGTGCCGATGTTTTCATCGGTGTTTCTGCACCAAAGACACTTACACAGGAGATGGTCAAGTCAATGGCCGAAAAGCCAATTGTCTTCCCAATGGCAAACCCAATCCCAGAGATCATGCCAGATGAAGCTAAGGCAGCTGGTGCCGCCGTTGTTGGCACAGGCCGTTCAGACTTCCCTAACCAAATCAACAACGTTCTCGCATTCCCAGCTCTCTTCCGTGGTGCACTCGATGTCCGCGCATCACGCATCACAAACGAGATGAACATCGCCGCAGCACGCGCAATTGCTTCACTCGTCTCAGACGAAGAACTCAGTGCAGACTACATCCTTCCTAACCCATTCGACAAGCGCATCAAGGAGACCGTCTCTAAGGCAGTTGCAGAAGCTGCCATCAAGTCAGGTGTCGCACGCATCAACCAGTGAAATTTCAACTAGCATTTGTTATTTCAATATTAATAATAATTAAACTATCCTCTATTAAAAAAATTGTTCAATTTTTTCAAAAAAACATCAAAATCAAGAGAAAAAGATCTAAAAATGTAATATTTATAAGCTTTATATTTCTATTTTGTTTAGACATCTGCAACCAAGAAGAATTCTCCATCAGTTGGAATTAATTGATCTGGTCTGTCCTTGAAATACTTTTCAATCATATCATTGCGGTTGATAATTGTTGGATTCTGGAGTCCAAACTTTGTAGCAAGTTCGATGATTTCATTTGGCATGAAAAAGCTGATAAATGGTGTTCCAGAAGAAGCAGCACCTCTCTTTGACATTTCGAAGATCTTCAAATCCTCGCCTGTGAGAGCTTCGCTTGGTAAATAAAATGCGATAACAATTTTAGAGCCTTTTGCAAGGTTTGCAGAGTTCTTAAGTAATTCGTGGACTGCGTTGTTATCGAGATAAAGTGTAACACCAACGCATGTCAAAAGAGAGGGCTGATCTGATTTGAATGAGGACTGCTTGAGAATATCGAACCAAGATGACTTGATGAAGTTAACTGGTACGAAATGCTGATACGCCTTTGATAGGTTGAGCTCTTTCAGTCTTCCTTCTTTCCAAGTTAATGTAGGTTCTTCATCAATTTCAAAGATTTGCATATTCAATGAATCGCCAAGTCTTTGAGCTAATGTATCTAAGCCAGCGCCAAGGCTAACATATTGATGAATTCCTTTCTTGGAGCATTCAATTGCGTAATCATCCAATAATCTTGCTCTACCGACCATTGCGCCGCGAACTGGCTTTGTAAACTTCATGTCTGGACGTTCTTGCCAGCCTTCTTGAGGATTTGCAAGTTGAAGACCGACAGAATCTTCGATTACTAATGGTTTTGCGTCGATAAGACCATGCAATCCACGCCAGAGAGCTGTTCTTACGGCAGAACTATTTGGTGCAGTCTGATTTGTATTCTGCATTCTAAATTTTTGTGATATGACAAAGGAAGTTTTTAACTCTCAAAAAATTGAATTATTTCAAAGTGATTTTTTAAACGAAAATTTAGAGTTATGATTATTTAAATGGAAACGACAATTCTATTTATTAGATATAGTTTCTACTGGGGCTCATAAGCATTCTCAATATTATTGTAAAATTAAAAATATTTTTTTATAAATTTGGGTATCAGCACATCATTCATTGAAGCATTACATCAGCTAATGGAATAAAAGCTAAAATGCCTTAGTACACAAGATCACCGAGTTATTGAAATATTTGAGAAAAAAAAAATAAATTTTTATTACTGTAAATTGCTTTATCAAAACATATTTTCTATTCATATGTCTTAATCTTCCTAGGAACTCTCATGATAACGAATGCCGGTTCCAATATTATTGGAAAATTTAGTTAATTGCAAGAATGCGTATTGTTATAACTAGTGCTTCTTATTCGTAAGAATGACACCTTGTTTTTTTATGTAGAAAATGGCCAAGGAATTTTAGATTTGGTTAAAATTTCATAGAAAGATTTGTTAAGTTGCCGAACACTTGCTTTAATAGGCATATATGTAAATTTGAATACTGCAATGAAACATTATTGAATAAGTAGTTAAAATCGAAACAATTATTTCTCAATTGCTTGAGATTTTTGACGGAATAGTGAAGCTTGAGAACTACTGAAATGATTCCACTTTGTTTTCATTTTCCAAATTTTTCATGTTTCTTGAAATATCATAGTAACTTTCTATTAAAATGATCTTTTTATTTTCATTCCAATTTTATGATTTATTTACAAGTGTTTTAGAGATTATAAATCTGTGATAAAGGTACATTCACTAGGCGATAACAGTAAAATGGGATGAAAATAGGATAAATAGCATCCCTATATAGTGCCTAACAATATTTATACGGGCCAAAAAAAATTTGGCTAGAGATTTGGCAAGTTAGAAAACTTAGAAAATTGAGAGGGATTTTTATTTTTGAATTTTTTTTGGAAAGTTAAAATTGCGATTAAAAATCGATTTCCAGGAGAACTAAGCATCTCATCATATATTTAAATCGATAAAAATATTAAATAATAGTTGAATAGTATAACTACGTGAAATTATGGCTGAATCTACAGAAAAAATGAACATATTTGACATTTTTGAAAATTCATACGTTAGATGGTGACAGACTCATAAACTATACTTTAGCTAAGATTGATATATGGTTTCAACAACACATGGTTAAAATCGTAAAAATATTTTAGATTTCAAAAAGATATATATGGTAATATAATGGAACAAAGTCAACAAATAGCATGTTAAATATGTTATAATTAACTTTTTATTAGATCCAATAGTAGATATCGAATGGTTTCCAGCTTTATGGTTAATTATTTTCTTTTCGAGCTTCTCTTTAACTGTTGTATTAAGGTTGTAAATTTTTGATGCTAGAAACTATGGAATCTTCTTTGCTGCTGCATTTTTCTTGAGAGTTCTTGCAATTTCGAATAGATCTGCGCATTGTATGAAATGGGGCTTTAAAATATCTTGAATCATAATAGGACTGCTTTTCCAAAGGAATGCTTACTTGTAAATCAGAGAGTTTCAAAATTGACAGCAAGATTATCATCATAACTTTCGATTTTGCTGCGAAAAAGGAAGACAAGCTATTAACAAATCATTTACTGTTGTTCATCAAAAGAAGAAAACTTTGATAACAACTAATGATGATAAAATCAAGCTATCTTTTAATATTTTAAATTGATAAGACATTCAAAATATTTGAATGGTTTAAAATATTTTCTTTTAATTTCTATAAGATATTATCATGATTATATAATAAAATTTAAATTTTTATTCAAAAAGGCAATATTTCAAACTTTTAATTTCAAAAATCTTAATTCTGCAATAAGTGTATTTAATTGTAGCAAATTTAATGATCCTTCGTCATGCTTAGCAATTTGGAACTCATAAATTAATGATTTCTTCAAGTAAAATTCTGCATTATTTCAAAAGTCAATAATTCTCTAGTAACTTTTCTTCAAACCCTAACCATTATATTATAGGTATAATGGAGAATAATTGCAAAGAAAGATAGCCGAATTTACTGGGTAGTTCTTGTGATGCGAAATAATTGCAAATTAACACCTAGTTTTAACAGCATCAATCTCTTTTTGCTCTCATTTAAATGCATTCGCACACTTTAATTTTGAAATATAAGAGTTTTGGAAATTATCAAATTTATCTGCTCAAATACTATAGATCTTCATAAGTGTTAATAGAATCATTAGCCTTACATATAGTGTTTAATATAATGATGCACATTATACTGGGATTCATTCCTTATTCATCTAGTTATTATAAGATTTACAACCCCATGAAAATTTAAAATTTTGTCAAAAATAGTGAATGTACCTTTTCTGTGATATCATTTTATAAAACACTTCACATGTCAAGAAAGTTTTTTTGACTAATATTTAAATGGAAGTAAAGCCGGGAACCTGTCTGGATGAGAAGGCGGATATGATCTGGGAATCTAACTCAGGAGCATATGGGAAATGCTTCGTCCTTAAAATCGGAGATAAATTTCAAGTATTAAAAAAATATTTCAATTCATCAGGACAAAAGATTGAAAAAGTCTTTGAAGAAATGGAAGGATTTCAAATCCCACTTGCACCAAAATATTTCGATACTTCAGTTAAGCATCCAGGAGAACCTTTTGATTGGGTTTTAATGGACTACATTCCAGGCGTCACATTAGAGAGGCTTTTAAGAGACCATAAGCGTATTAGACTCCTATACATCATTGAAATAATTACGGCTCTTAACCTTCAACTGAAAAAGATGGGAAAGAAAGGAATCAAACATCGTGACTTGAAACCAGGCAATATCGTTATCGACGCAAACTTTATACCTCACATTCTTGATTGGGATGATATGACAACAAGAATTTCAATGACACAAAGCCCTTACCACGGAACAATTCGTTTTGCAGCTCCAGAAATTTTTGAAATGAAAAGAGAATGCGCATCCGACATTTTCTCATTCGGAAGCATCATTTTCAACATGCTGACAGGCAAAGCTCCTTTCGATGATGTCTACAACAATCTCGATGGCATCTTTCAATTTATACCTAAAGAATATCATGTAGAAGAAGTTGATGAACAAGAAGACGATGAAGATGAACAAGAAGATGATGAAAATAAACAAAAAGATAAAGAAAAAAAGTTAAAAAGATTAATACAAAAAACAAAAAGAGGAGTTAATTATTACTTGAAAAGAAATGAGGAGTTAGAAGATTTGATATCAGAACATCCAAACAAAGGTCATCTTGCATTGAATATATTTAACACCTATAATGATGATACAAAAGCATCAATGCATTTGTATGTAATGAATTTAGCTGAACAACATACAAAAGAAAAAATCAGACAACAAATTGAAGAATACAGATCATTGGATGAAACTACACAAAAAATCTTATCCATGAAAATCGATCTTGATCAATGTTATGGTGAGCTTATTAGAAATAACATCGAACCAATATTGATCGAATTAATTAAAATTGGCGTTAGAGATGAGGATTTAATCTATGATAAAGAGTTCCTTGAACATGAACATGATAAAGCTTTGGCAAATATCATTTCTAATTGCTGGAAACAAGAACCAAAAGACAGATGGACTCCCAAACAAATTCAAAAAGAAATCGATAATATTGTCCAATATTTAACTGATACTGAAAAGAAAAAGTACGAAGATTACTGTGCAAAAATTTATGACCTTGAGCAAAAAGAATACGGAACAGTTGAAATGATCAACAAAGCAAGAGAGAAGGGATTTTATTATTGTGATTACACTCTTGGCGACATTATCTATTATTTGGATAATAGTTTTGACTTCGATCGAATCACCCTTGATAAGTTCTACGATTTCATAAATACAAGAACTGTTGCATGCTAAGTTCGGTCAAAATGTAAACCTCTCAATTTTATCGTCGGGGAAAGTAACTCAATTCCTTCAAAATTATTCTTTAAATATTGAATTTAAAGTTATTTAATTTGGATTATAAATAAATAGGCTAATACAATATTTAAAAATGAGAAAAAATAACTTTTCAAAGAACTTTTCATAATCTCAAAGAAAATTTTTTATTCAATAATTATATAAATTAATTAACATTCATAATGGAATTGGATTTTTTTATAAAAAATTGGTCCTACTTAACTTTTTGAGAAAATTTGGCTTTTCATTTTTTATTATGAGTAGACCAACCATTCCTTCTTGGTGGTTAATTCAAACACGCGAAAAACTTGAATCTCGCGAACTCAATTATTTAATTGCGTGTAAGCGAGTTCCATACGAGGATGAAATGAAGTGTGAATTTAGATCAATTTCGAAAAACACACTTAAAGCAGCATACACAAATGCAAATTTAACGCCCCAAACGTTAAACCTGGTCCGGCACCAGATGATATTACTCCTGAAAATTTGCAATATGTTCTCCAAAAATTTCAGGAATATAAGTGCGGAATCCAAAAGATGTTTTGGCGTTTAAACATGGATCAAAATGTTTATTCAGTTTCCTACAATAAACTCAGAAGAATTTACAGTATTTTGGAGATCAAAGAACCAAAAAGTGACATGCCCCCTCAAAAATATTATACGCCATATGAAGCAACAAAACCTGATACCATATGGCATGGAGATGTTCATTTTTTATACGGTTCACAGAGGTTACCTGTTTATGGTATAATAGACGATAAATCTCGGTTTTTGTTGGCTTTAAAAATTTTGCCAAATAAATATTCCGAATCTACAACAAGAGTTGCCGAAGAAACGATTGGCTTATATCAAAAGCCATTTTTTTTCTGGTCCGACAACGGGGGAGAGAATATGGGCCAATTTTATAATTGGCTCATGCGAAACAACATTCAAATCCGCCACACTCTCCCCCATATGCCGCGCCAGAACGGCAAGATTGAAAGGCTCTGGCCGTCTCTTGAAAGAAATGTCGGCCGGTCTTCAAATGCAAAACAAATTCAAGAATTTCTTGATAAATTCAGGAAAAATTACAACTCAGTACCACATAAAACCCTTCCCAAAAAGGGTTTTCGCCCCATGACTCCAGAAGAGTGTTACAATGAGACACCACATTGGAAACAGGGTGAAACGCCATTTTGGAGAGTTATGATTGATGGACACTTCGAAATCAAAGAAATACCGAACCATTGAATACACAATTACGAATAAACGCTTAATTTTTATAAAAATCTTATTACATTTTTCCTGAATTTTTAAATTGTACAATAAAGATGGAAGGCTTTGGGGTACATATTAATATAATATACCTCAAAGCCTTCCATCTCCACTACAAATGGGAGAAACTTTGTCCGAATAGTTTAACATTCGGACAAAGTTTCTCCCATTTAAAGAAAGAATTGTTCCTTATGAGGTATATAGTTATATGTATACCTCATAAGGAACAATTCCTCTCCTTAAAACGAGAAAACTTGTTCGAAATTGTTTATCATTTCGAACAAGTTTTCTCGTTTTTAATAAGAAACTAAAGGCTATGAGGCACTGATTATATATTAGTGCCTCACAGCCTTTAGTTTCTAATAGATAGCTGGGAAACTTTCTCCAAATGATAAGTTATTCAGAGAAAGTTTCCCAGCTATCAAGAGGGAATTGTTCCTTATGAGGTATATAGTTATAATGTATACCTCATAAGGAACAATTCCCTCATTAAAATCGTAGATATTTTTTACTTATTACTCATGCTTTCAAAATCACAATCCTCTGAAAAGTTATTTTTTATGAAGAATTTAGAATTTTGATAAATACCTTTTTTCAATTTGATATAATACTTATATATTTTCAAAAAGACATTTTGAAAAGATATCTCAAAAGTTCTCTGAAAACCTATTTTTGATTAATTTTGTTGTAAACAGAAATTCATCAAAAGTGACACCTCAGAAAAGCTAAAATATTGAATTTTTGGAACTTTTGATAGAGCATGTTTTTAAATATTAATTAAAGTAAATGTATATTTTGTAAAGATTCTTTTTAATAAAAAAAAATAGAATTTTGAAGAAGAACACAAAATCTTCTGAAAAATAATATCACATAAACTCATATTATTTTCTAATATATAACTATTTTATATAAAAATCAAATTCAATGATCTTAAAAGCGAAGGATAAACCTCAAAATTTACGAATATAATGAGTGGGAATATAATGCTTATCTATCATAAAAACCATATGAAATATCAATTTTTGCTTTACGCCTAATTTTTGACGACAATTAGCAAAAAATGTTAAATGTTAACACTCAGTCCATTTGAATATGAAAAATAAAATTGACTTTGATTAAATGTTTTTATTTATCATGCAATTCTTCTTGCGACCAAAGATTTGAATAAAATTTCAAAAAATAAGATAGCTTAAAAAGTAATATACGGTAGTGTTTACTAATAGATGAATAGTATATAAATTCTATTAAAATGGATTTGATCCAAAAAAATATAAAACCAAAAATAATTGTTATAATTTAAATGAAGAAGTAATTTAAAACGATTTTATTTATGATCAAATTTTAGATATTTTTTTGGATCAAATCCATTTTAATAGAATTTATATACTATTCATCTATTAGTAAACACTACCGTATATTACTTTTTAAGCTATCTTATTTTTTGAAATTTTATTCAAATCTTTGGTCGCAAGAAGAATTGCATGATAAATAAAAACATTTAATCAAAGTCAATTTTATTTTTCATATTCAAATGGACTGAGTGTTAACATTTAACATTTTTTGCTAATTGTCGTCAAAAATTAGGCGTAAAGCAAAAATTGATATTTCATATGGTTTTATGATAGATAAGCATTATATTCCCACTCATTATATTCGTAAATTTTGAGTTTATCCTTCGCTTTTAAGATCATTGAATTTGATTTTTATATAAAATAGTTATATATTAGAAAATAATATGAGTTTATGTGATATTATTTTTCAGAAGATTTCATTCTATATGCCTATGAAAAGTACTTTCAAAACTAACTTTTCCTAATTATAATTAAATCTAGAATATTGTATTATGCTTAGTATTATTTCATTTTTCTCATTCAATTTAGAATTTACAAATGTCAAAAAATTGAGAGCTGTCACTTTTGATGAATTTCTGTTTATTACAATTTTGAGAAATATCCGTATTAAATTAATCAATAAATTCATTCAACACTACTTTAATTTTTAAATTTAAAAAATTATATGTGCTTCTTAAAATGTCTCACAAAAATTTTATTATAAAATTATATACAATATTAAAAATCCCACAACATTTTTTTACTTTACATAATCGTACTTCCTCGATGATTAATTTCCCCTCAATTCATATCGTTGACCGAACTTAGCATGCAACAGAACATGTTATCCAAGACCATCGAAGGATGAATAAAAACATTTTTATTTTTTATTTATATTTTTTTAATATTTTTTATTAAACTGCTTGCCCTAAGGTGGACAATATTGAAAGGAATTCAATGAGTTCTCTCAAAAATAACCACCTTTTCATATTCAATACTATTGTCCACCTTTCGTCCAACTTAAATAATTTATTTAGAAACAACAAAACAAAATAGATAAAAATAAATAATGCAGCAAGGTCCAGAAAGACCTAAAAAATCGAAATGACGGAGTGGATTTTTGATATAACTCATTAAATGGAAATTATGAGATATTATAATTAAATTTTTCACACTATCCGAGATATAAGAAAACTAGCATCCAGGTAGCTCGGATATATGGGTAGTATCTATTTTTGGAGAAAACTCCAAAAGTTAAAGTTATGATTTACTAATGAGAACAATTATAAGAGAAACAAGTAGCTGAAAAGGAGCATCATTTGATATGACTAACAATTACTTATTCGTAAGTTTCTGCAATGTCTGTTCGAGGAGAAATTCTGCTTGATTTGGATGAACGTTTATAAGTTTTTAGAGTAAATAATTGGAGAATTTGGAGTTCCTAGCATGAGTATGTTAAGTGGACAGTAGAGAAATTTGGTAGCAATGCATAACGGTTGCAATATTTTCGGGTAATTCAGAATAGGATCTGTTTGAGCATAAAGAGATGCAATATTATTGGATCTCTAATCATTTAAGCCATGCATCTTGTGATTTCAAAGCGTGTTGTGTCTCTGTTCCGCTCACTAAAAATGTAAAAAAAAATTTGACTATTATCCACCTTAGGGCAAGCAGTTTATATATGACTTGCTCAATTTGATGTGAATAAAGTACATATATCTCAGGAACTCTAGTACTTGATGTTCTCGCTATATGGATGGCTTTTTTGCATAATTTTTGGTGAGAGAAATATTAATTAATTCCATGATGACAAATTTCTTCGTGAAATCGCATGACAACTTCATAAAAGCAGATTCTAGAAGATGAATATAATATACGGGACCTTCATTATATTAACCATTGATTTAAAACTATATAAATCATATCTGTAGATGCAAAAATGGCAATTATTTTTCCCAGGATGAATTTAAGTTGATCTTTAAATATTATAAATAGCTGTACATAATGTTTATGTATGCATATTGAATTAGCTTTTCTCTGTTGTTATGCAATTTTTTTGCCAAATTTGTCTCAACTTGTTAATCAATAAAAAATTTATTTTCATTGAAAGTTATATTTCATTATATTAAATGAGAATAGTAGAAATTTGGATGCAAATCAAGAAAAAGATAGTTTTATTCAATAAGAGTCATAACATTTTCTATAAATTGTAATTCGACAGTAAATCGTGGCAAGGGTGAACTTTACTAGTGTCTTATAGGTAGTCATCATTGTCATATATTCACTCAGTAAATATTCTGTAAATTAGCTTACAAGAAATCCATTGAATTCTCGAACACTAACGATTAATGCTTAAATGTATACTAAAAATCATTGTAAAAACAAATAAATGCTATAGGAAACTGGATAAATTTTTTTTGGGTTGAATAGGGACTGTAATTCTCAATAGTAATGTTTAAACTTTCTAATATTGTGGTATTTTGAGAAGTGGTAAAAACATTGCTTTGAATTCAAGATATGTGGAACTATAAATTTCGAAAAACTGAATTTATGAGGATTGCATGTCAACGAGTACAATGTATCATTGTATAACAGTTACATATATTGACTTGTTCTGATTTAACAATTGGATAAAGCAGAATTTTGTTTCGCGCTTAGAAGTGAAATTGAATGATGAACGTTTAATAATTTTTGGAATGCTTATTCTTTTCTTTATAAAATCTTTAGAAACATGGGATAATTATAGCGCACCTAACTATAAGTATGGTGCTACATTAAACAACGATCATTTTGGCCCGCAATATAAGATATTAGCCGATGAATCTTTGGATGATTCTTCATCGTCTTCGTCTTCATCATCATCTTCATCATCTGAAGATATAGAAACACCTCCACCAACTCCTACAGCTTCCCTTCATCCAACTCCTACAGCTACACCAACACCAAGAACTCCTTCTCCTACTGAATCAACACCATCTCCTTCTCGAACTATCAGCCCTTCTAGAAGCATTTCTCCATCACCGTCAATAAGTTTAATTCCGACACCTGCTGAAACAACACCTGCAAATACACCAACAGAATCTCAAACACCAATTATTACGTTTAACCCTATTCAGTATCCTGACTCTTCGCCTGTATTTACGCTATTTCTAATAATCTTCGGTGGTGTAGTACTTGTTATAGCTGCTGTAGCATTGATATTCATATTTTCTCAATTTGGTGATGCTATGGCACCACTTCTAGCTGATGTCGAACTTTAATTTTATTGCATAGTTTCCTTATATTACTCTTTTGTTTGTATATTTTTGCTAAATATTGTTTACATATTTGTTCTATCTACAAAGCATTTGCATAATCATAAGTTTTTGAAATCAGAATTTCATTATCGAGGTTATTTACCTCATTGAATTACAAAATGATTGATTTTTGTAAGCTATAACTAAGTTGATAGTTCGTTCTGTATCCAATGACAATAACAGAAAATTTTGAAAATTGTCTTTGAAATCTTTCAAATTTTATATCATTTTATGCACTACATACTATCATAAGATATTTTTATAATTTCCAGTTTTATTTTTTATATCCATGTTTACAATTTTATCGTACCCCTAAATCCAAAGATTTTCTAAATTAAAGTGTTGCTAGCACAAGGAGATATGGAAACAAACGTTGATAATCTCAACGAATTCGATCATGTTTCTGGGGAGAATGGTCTTACAATGACTTTCCCTCAGCCAGTTACACTAGAAAAGAAAACAAAGCGTGATTCTTCATCGTTACCTTCACAAATTACACAGGCAAAAGCCAATATGGCTAAGTATTGCCTCGAGAAGCAGTTTAAGGACTTTTTTACCAATGACAAGCAGATGCGTCAAAAAAATGTTAGAAATCGTTCTATGAGCATTCCTAAACTAAACGACGTACACATTCCAGATGAAGAAGTACCTGTCAAAAGACTTAATCGTAGAACACTCAAAGTTGAGCAGTTCGAAAAATTAAAAATTATAGGTAGAGGATCATTCGGTGAAGTATGGCTTGTTCGAGACAAGGAAGATCAACATATTTACGCTATGAAGGTCTTAAAGAAAAAAGAACTCGTAGAAAAAAATCAAATTTTAAATACAATTGTCGAAAAAGATTTTATGGTCCAAAATGATAACCCATGGGCTGTCCAGTTATACTATGCATTTCAGGATAGTAGATGTCTGTATTTTGTGATGGAATTCTTGCCAGGCGGTGATTTAATGACTTTATTAATAAATAGAAATATTTTAACAGAAACAGAGACGAGATTCCTCATAGCAGAGACAATACTTGCTGTAAATTGTGTTCACAAGCAAGGTTTCATTCACAGAGATATTAAACCAGATAATTTACTACTTACGAAAAATGGACATGTCAGACTTACCGATTTTGGACTTAGTACAAAAATGGATCGTTACAGCGATCCAATTGTTCAACTTATCGATGAAATTACTGATGCATTTAATGAATCAGGAAATTCTAGTACTCCGCAATCAGTTATCAATAGATTATATTACCAGAAGATGCATTCTTCAGAAAGGCATGCTCAAGTATGCTCAGCTGTTGGAACTACCGATTATATTGCTCCAGAAGTATTATTAAAGCAGCCTTACGGCCCAAGCGTCGATTATTGGTCGATAGGTGCTATAATGTTCGAAATGATATATGGATATGCACCTTTTTCTTCACAAACTCAAAGAACGACCGCAACAAAAATTATTCATTTCAAGGAAACCCTTGAATTCCCATCCAAACCCCCTGTATCGACTGAGGCAATTTCTCTGATGAGAGGTTTGCTCACAGATGCAGATCATAGACTTAATTTCGAGGAAATCAAATCACATCCGTTCTTTTCTTCAGTAGATTGGGACAATCTCTTCAACTCTGTTTCTCCATGCATTCCTACATTGGAAAGTGATCTTGATACCTCTCATTTTGATGTTTTTGAACCTCTTCCTGAAGAGGAAGCAAGGCCTAAATCTCCTCATGATAAGGAGGTTGAGGATCTCGCTAATATCGCTTTCATGGGATTTTCGTATAACAAAAAAGCAAGTTCTCTCTTGCAATTTTGTCCTATTACCTCTAATGAAAGCCGTTATTAATTATTCGTAATGTTTTGTTTGTTATTAACTTTAAAATTTTGTTTTAATGCAAATTTTTTGATTTATGCTTGGTTTTGTATCAAATATCGAAAAAATTGAAAAAAATAACTGAAGAGTTATCAACAGAAATGAGAGAAAAATGCTTTTCATATTGATAAATTACCGGAAAATCATACAAACAGTTTAAAATAGACTAAGCAACAAAAAATAATATGTCAATAGTAAGAGGTAATGGATTAAATTATACCAGTTTGCAACAGTTCTGATCAACAGACTCATATGAATAGTATGAGCAGGATTCTTCTCCATCCCATTTCTCTTTTGCAATTAGGCAATAATCCAACAATTTCACTGGGCGAGGGAAATGCTTAAAGTACATGACATCACGCATATGATGTTTTATTTGGTTAATTTCTATGTGTGATCTTTTATCTTTTTGTTCAATTTTGAAAGGTTCTCCGAAAGAATCAATTGCAACATCAGCAATATAAGGTAGGTAACCTGGCACAAGTTCCAAGCTCATCGAAGAATATGAAATTGTGGTCTCTGATGCCATGAAAAAACAATGATGATGATGTAAAAAATATTTTCTAATTGAATGCCTTAAATATCACAAAAAAACTACTATTGTATTGAATTTTGATTATATCGTTTGAATAGATTAATCACTATTGTATATATATTAAATAAAATTCGATAAATTTCAGATCAATAAGAAAAGAATCTTTTTGAAAATCAAAAAAAATGCATTTATTTCTTCTTAAATAGTTTTGGTCTATGTAACATAATTAAAATCCGTTGAAAAAATCGTGGAAAAGAATAAATTTGAGGCAATGAAATGAATTTATTTGATTTACCCACGAAAACTGACAAAACTATCAATTCTATTTATTTTTAATTGAAAAATTAAATATTGATGAGAATGTAGTATATTATCTTCAATAGCAAAATTTCGGTTTATCACAAAAAATTGAAATTATTCAAAATCGCATCATCTTTATTGAAAAAATAAATTCTAACCAACACGATTTTGATCTATGAGATATCATTTTTAAATTTGAAAATTCTGTAGTTTACAAAAATTTTTTCATCAAGATATTTCATCATTTTGCTCGCGAGCTTCATTTTTATTCTAATGAAAATCATCTTCGAATGTACCAGAATAAGAATAGTATCTTATGTAAGAACGTTATTTCGCACCATGCGAAATGAGAACCTTTTCAGTTTTTGTATGTGAAAGAAGTTTTGCAATACAAAGTGCAGTTTCTCCATATTTATTTTTTTCATCAATATTTGCACCATGTGAAATGAGAACTTCGGCAATTTTTTCACAATTATCCCGTGCTGCATAATGAAGGGCGGTTTTTCCATCTTTAGTTTTCTCATTAACATTTGCACCATGTGATACGAGAATTTCGGCAATTTCTTTATAACTATTCCGTGCTGCAATATGAAGTGCGGTTTCTCCATCTTCATCTTTTTCATTCATATTTGCACCATGTGAAATGAGAACTTCGGCAATTTTTTTACTATTATTCCGTGCTGGAATATAAAGTGCGGTTTCTCCATCTTTATTTTTTTCATTGATATTCGCACCATGTGAAATGAGAACTTCAGCAGTTTCTTTACAATTTTGCCGTGCTGCAATATGAAGTGCTGTTTCTCCACCATTATTTTTAATATTCATATTCGCACCATGTGAAATGAGAACTTCGGCAATTTTTTCACAATTATCCCGTGCTGCATAATGAAGGGCGGTTTTTCCATCTTTAGTTTTCTCATTAACATTTGCACCATGTGATACGAGAATTTCGGCAATTTCTTTATAACTATTCCGTGCTGCAATATGAAGTGCGGTTTCTCCATCTTCATCTTTTTCATTCATATTTGCACCATGTGAAATGAGAACTTCGGCAATTTTTTTACTATTATTCCGTGCTGGAATATAAAGTGCGGTTTCTCCATCTTTATTTTTTTCATTGATATTCGCACCATGTGAAATGAGAACTTCAGCAGTTTCTTTACAATTTTGCCGTGCTGCAATATGAAGTGCTGTTTCTCCACCATTATTTTTAATATTCATATTCGCACCATGTGAAATGAGAACTTCGGCAGTTTCTTTAATATTATGCCATGCTGCAATATGAAGTGCTGTTTCTCCATCTTTATTTTTTTCATCGATATTTGCACCATGTGAAATGAGAACTTCAGCAGTTTCTTTACAATTTTGCCGTGCTGCAATATAAAGTGCTGTTTCTCCATCTTTATTTTTTTATCGATATTCGCACCATGTGAAATGAGAACTTCAGCAGTTCCTTTATTATTTTGCTGTGCCGCAATATGAAGTGCTGTTTCTCCATCTTTATTTTTTTCATCGATATTCGCACCATGTGAAATGAGAACTTCAGCAGTTTCTTTACAATTTTGCCGTGCTGCAATATAAAGTGCTGTTTCTCCATCTTTATTTTTTTTATCGATATTCGCACCATGTGAAATGAGAACTTCAGCAGTTTCTTTACAATTTTGCCGTGCTGCAATATGAAGTGCTGTTTCTCCATCTTTATTTTTTTCATCGATATTTGCACCATGTGAAATGAGAACTTCAGCAGTTCCTTTATTATTTTGCTGTGCCGCAATATGAAGTGCTGTTTCTCTATAATTATTTGTTTTATTGATGTTTGCACCATGTGAAAGGAAGTATTCGATAAGAGACGGAATATTAAACATTGGTGAATAAACAAAGCATTGGCCAAAATTATTAGTTTGATCGAAATAAACTAAAAATGCTTCAAGATTATTGTAATTTTCACAGTATTCTAAATAGATCATAATATCATATTCATTCTTCAAGAATGTAACAAAATCAATGTTGTGTGAAATAATTGCATATTCCATGCATTTTTCATTTGGTTTTTGATATTTCAAACATTCACTCATGATCTCTGGATTTCCACCTAAAAATGAAAGTTCGAGACATTGTTGAGTTATATTTGAGCCGAATTTCGTTCTTAATAACTTGAAACAATCAACAGCTCCATGGTAACAACATAATTCAAGCAATGAATATCTTCCGTCAGTAGATAGATATAATTTGCTTTCAAGTTTTTGATTTTTATCAAATCCATCTCTTTCCGTGAATATGATGAAACTTTCTTTGTCATTATTCATAATTGCTCTGTATATTGTATTCTCTGTATGAATAGCGAGATAATTAAAATCATCTTTTTGGAAGTCATCAGATTTGTCTAATTTAATTCCATATTCTTTGTAAAACAGGAAGTTTGAAATAAATATGAGATTTTTGACCTCTTTGACATGGTATTCATCAGATATGAGTTTGGCAAGATATATATTTATAAATATGACTTTGCATAGCGATTATTATACGGAATGAGATTTAAAATGTCTTTTATCATATCTTCGGGAGGATATTTATTTGAATCAATCATTTCTGTTTTGAAAATTTTGTAAATCGAGTTTAATTCTTCTTCTTTTTCCTTTCTCAACTGATACAACGCATTGTACATATCGATATAGTAGTTATAGGTACTTCGCAATTCGCTGTATTTGTTTGGATAAACGTCTTGGTCGGACATTAGTAATTTTTAGAAAGGACATATTTTGGTTTTACTATATAAATACTACTTAAATTTATTAGAAGATAAAAAAAATCCTATGTTATGCATGCGGAAAACAGTGACCATAATAGTAGTATGATAGGAAGGGTTGTGTGACTTTTTTTGTTGCATCTATATATAGACGATACATTAAAATATTTATATACTAAACACATTAATTTTAAAATAATTTATTTCATCTTTTATAAAAGAAGCTATATATAGATGATGTCAGATATTCCGCGATTAATTAAACATTGTTTAAATCCTGAATGAAAGATTCACTACCATAATGAAATAAAAAAATTTTTAAAAAATAAACTTTAAAAATTCATGTCTTACATTTTTGAATAATTTATTTTTAATTCGTATGAAATGAGCGTCAAAACTAACAACGTTAAAAAATTAGGATTCACAAACGAGGAAATAAAGGATATATTAGATGAGATGTGTTATGAAGTTAGTAAATATTATTTAAGAAATTGTCAAAAATTTGCCGAGTTATTAAATGATTTAGATTATGATGGAAAAATGAATAAAGATGATGTTATAAATTTCTTATATCCTACATCTGAAGAAGAAAAACCAAAAGAACCTGATGTTTTCCCTGAATATTATGAAGAACGGATTAAAGATGATGATGAATACGATGAAATTGAAAAACTGAAAAAAATAAGAGATGAAATAGATGAAAAAATTAAGGAATTAAGAGAAGTTGAAAAATATAATGAAAATGAAGTAGAGGGTTTAATGAATATCCCAGCTTCAGAATCAGCAGTTCAGAAATCTCATGAAGAAAGATATAAAAATTATGTCTCAGAATCAACACAAAATTTATTAGATGGCGAAATAGATGAAACACTTTCAGAAGAAGGTACTAAATTTATTCGTAAACATAAGTTACAAGTTATTGATAATGAAGAATACCCCTGTATCCTACTTTCACCACCTTTAGATTCCGAAAAATTCAAAAAAGCTCTTAAAAATGTGACATATGCAACTAATACGATTAAGAAAGAAGATCATGATATTTACACAAATTATTATTTAAATAAATGCACAGGTGTTGATAAAGTTTTTGATTTATTAGATAAAATATCAAAAGAAACCATTGGAACCTATAAAATTTTGTGTGATTGTGGTTTCATTATTGAAGATACCAATAATGTTTCATATGAAAGAACAGCACCGAAGGAAGACGAAGTGGAAAGGTCTATACCATTCGTTATTAAGAACATAAAAGATATGAAAACTTATAAACATTATATTTATTCATTTATTTCAGAAAAAATGGAAGCAACCCATAAAACATCTTCTCATCATTTTATAGCTATTCATACATTCCTTTTCAAAGTTGTGAAATTAAATAAGACAGGAATTAGATTTAATGTATCAGGGTACGCATTCTTGAGTAAATTAAAATGTATTCGTCACGTCGCAGATGATAAAAATTTATGTGTTCTTAATTCATTTTATGGACTTTAAAAAAATAAACTTTATTTTTATTTTTTAATTTTTTATTCTTACATAAATGAACAAAAACGGAACAGCTAAAATGAATGATAATCAAATAAGAGCAGAAGGTAGAAGGTTATTTAAACGCTTCTATAACATTCCTGATGGTGTTAATCCTAAAACTCGTAGAAGCTATTTAAATGAAGCAATAGATTCATATGAAGGGTTTGACATTTCATCAGAAAGTGAGAGATTAGCGAGAATGTTAAATGTTAATATTGATTTCTATTATTGTGATCCTCAACCAGAAGACGTGGACATAAATAAGGTAGACTTTCCATTAGTGGAATCAATAATGATAGATCCAGAATTTGAAACAATAAATATTTTATTAACACAGAGTCCATGTGGAAAACTTCACGCTGACAGAATAACAGACGTTGAAGCACTCACCGGCTATAGAGTTTGTCCATATTGTAAAGAAGAAGTTTATTCTATCCGTGATGATCCAGAAAGGAAAAACCAAAGAAGATTTTTAAAGCATTGTGAGAAATGTAAAGAAAATAATGGAAGATTAATTCAAGACGTTCAGTTGCAAAAGACACAGCAACCATATGCACCACATATTACGAAACAGAAGATATATCAGTGGTTATTAGCTCACAATTTGCAGAATATTATAAACCGACAAGATTTATATTACTTTTGACTTTGAAACATTAGAGACTAAAGAAGAATTACAACTTTCTGAGTGTGCAACTTTGAATGCTTACTTAAAACCATTCATGGTATCATCAACGGTTAAATTAAATGATAAAACATATACGAGGAATTTTTGCTTAACTTCAAGTGATTCTTTTATTTCTGATTGGATTGAGTTTTTATTTTCAACCTGTTCATTAGTTGCTAAATCAAATATTGAACAATATGAAGAATTAATGAAGTCGCAAACGGACCAAACGGCGGGGACTTTGTCTCATACATTAATGAAAAACAGAAGGAAGCATTTAAAGAACTTCTAGATGAGGAATTCAATAAAGTGAATATCATAGGTTTTAATTCGGGAAAGTTTGATTTAAATTTAATTCTTCGTGATTTAAACACTGCAAAATGGAAAATAAAATCAATGCTGGGTTCATCTTCACAATTTAAGCAAATCATTGTAAAGAAAACAAACGTTCCATATGAATTGAGATTTATTGACATCAGAAATTATATAGCGGGTGGACATTAGACAATTCACTCAAGATTTCGGAAACAATAAATCACGTGTTAAATCCTTTTTCCCTTATCAATTCATCACATGGGAAAATTACGAAGAAGAATTATATAAAGTGGAACCATTCACTCAAGATTCATTTTATTCAGCATTAACCAAGAAACTATATCAGATAGTGATTATCAAATATATCTCAATGATGCTAAAAATTTTAAGAATAGATTAGAATATTTTATTCATTATTGCAATAAAGATGTTGAAATTATGATTGACCCAATTGATAAAATTATTGAAGAAACATTTGTTTATAAAATTGATATGCTTCATAATCTTTCTTTATCATCGAATGCTTCAATGATTCGTTACGCTTTAGCATATAAAGACTTTAATCCTAATGAAAAATATCCTGAGGAAGAGATAGAATCAAGTTTTGAATTAACGAAAAAGTATTGGAAATATAAAATTGAATCATATAAGAAACAAGATGAAAAAGCAGAAAGGGATAGTAAAAATAATGTTTCAATGGATGATTTTCAATACTATCACGATTTAATCCTTTCATCTAAATGTAAAATGTGTGGTAAAGCGTTTACATATGCAAATAAACCAACATTGGATAGAATCGATAATGAAAAACCACATACTAAAAGAAAATTGTCAGTTAATGTGTTGTTATTGCAATGTCGTAAAATCAAATAAAGATGAAGATGTTCAACGTTTAAGAATCAATTTAAGAAATTATGCATTAAAAAATAATTTACCAATGACTTTAGATTCAGTTGAAGCTTATCACATTCTCCGTAATGGAATTACTGGTGGCTTATCAAATGTTTCAACATCGTGTAATCTTAAAGGAATCACGCACATTAATAAACTTTCATATAGTCCAGAAACTAAAACTGTATCAAATGAGGACACCACCAACATTATGACTCATTTCGTTGGAGTTGATTTTAATTCATTATATCCTTCATCATTTTCATCTAATCCTCATGATTTCATTCAATATACTGACCATAAAATGTATATGCCGGGAAGATTGAATGGTGTTATCATTTGTGATACAGCAACAAAGAAAGCAAAAGCACTGGGAATAATTAAGAAGAAAAATACTTTATTCGTGGCTGAAGTAAAGGGTCACATTGATGAAAAATACATTAATGATTACATAAACTTTTTACCGATAATAAGAAACTTAGATATTATCACAGATGAAAAAACAATTGGCAGTTTTATGTATAATTACATGAAATCAAACAATCTACCGGTTGACCAGAAACAGAGGAAATTAACTCAGTTAGCATCAACACACAACCAATATCAACCATTTTCTTCTTATTATCTTTGGTATCTAATAGACAGATTTCATTTTATCATCGATGACATTCAATCAATTTTAACATTTACTAAAAACACTTGTTTTTAATGAATTTGCGAACAAATTTATGAACGAAAGACAAAAGGCTGAATTAGAAGGAAATAAAGGAAAAAGTTTATTTTGCAAGATTTCACTTAATGGATCATATGGTTACGATGCAATGAATACACAAAATTACGCAAAGACTAAAATAATGAATGCACAGAAGGCACGCGTTGTATGTATGTCAAATAAGTTTAAAAACATAAGAGAAATAGGTGAAGATACATATCAAGTGATGCTTAAAGATAGATTTTATAGATGTGATACATGTTTACAAGAGGCATTCTTCACTTTAGATAATGCTAAATACTGGTATTTGGTTTTCATTTATGATTTTTATGTATAAATGCATGGATGTTAATCGTTTTCATTTCATTGAAGGTGATACTGATTCATCTTATTGGGCAATCGCTGGCGACCCAAATCTTCCTAACACTCAAGCATTTCAAGCAATTGTTACCGATAAAAAATTTTATGATAAAAACATTTTCAAATTCGCACCATTTGATTTCTTCTGTTTTGATGAGAAATTTAAACCTAAATTAAAGAATAAAGCTGAAGAAAAAGCACATGAGAAAAAATTATTGGGTTTAGCAATTGAGAAACAAGGTGATAACATGGTTGCTTTATGTCCTAAGTGTTATACATCATTCAACGGTTCAATTGATGGGAGTGATTTTAAAAAGATTGCACAAAAAATGAAGGGTGTTAGTTTAAGACAAAATAAGCAATTAACACCTAAAAAATATTTGGATATAATAAATGATAAAGTGATATTTGATGGTCAAAATATTAATTTACAACTTAAAAACGGGTCAATGACTCGCTTAACAATTGGTAAGACTGCATTAACAGGAGCACACACTAAGGCCGTATGTTGTGAAA